TCAGTGATGACTAAGTTTGTTTCTGAGATAAGTAATGAGTGTGATCAATGATCTCATGATTCCATCAATAAGAACCTTTTCGGATAATCTTTGAGCGTTCTCTTTTGCCCCTGCAACAAAAATAAAAATTGATACCGTTGTTCTCCTCCTGATTTTGTGGCATACATATCTATGATGGAAATATATTCACTGCTTGTGGTGATTATGGTGTGGGTCATGATTGTTCATGCTTTTGGTGTAATCATAATTGGGGTGATTATTGGTTTATGTAAAGGGATCAGATAACAATTTAGTTATGGGCTCCAAACCAATTGGATCCCACCACAGTGGAAAAACTTTGATGAAAACACTGTAGAAAGTTTAATCAGGATTTCAAATATTCCACGAAGCGAAGTCCTCTTAGGCCACCGCTTATAGATTTATCCTTTGTGTCTAAAGACGATTTTACACAAAGTTTAACATTAATTCGATACGTAAGCAAGAAAATATTACGGTAATCTATTGAGACAACTGAAATAAAAAAAAAAAAACTGAGACTATCCTCGCAGAGCGAGGAAATCATTATAGAGTGAACACTTTAACAAATTTTATTTTTTTAAATCTCAATAAATAAAAATAAGATGATACATATATTTTTATTTAAATTATAATTGCCGGAGGGTCACATTGCAAAAAGTTGTGTAGTCAACATTCACTGCTTCTCCTCGCTCACCTTTATCTCTCCCTTAGTTGGTCACTCGTTTTAGCCTGATAATAATAATATCGTTGGATATATATTTATGTTTGAATTTTCTTTACTCAAAAGTGAGTCTATAATTTTATGATGACCTTATTTTTTTTAAGTACTTACAAAATGGCCCAGCACGAATTTTTTCAAAAATTATAAAATGGCCCCAATATACCCAAAACTTATTTGAAAATGTCTGATGTGTGTCCCAAAACTAGTAGTCATTTTGATGTGAGTTTATGCTAATTAATATATAGGAGGTCTCTAAAGTACAAAATTTCTAATTTTAATCCTCAATATTTTAATTAAATTATTTTGTTCACTGAAGTACTAAATATGTTTCTATGTGGTCCTTCAAGTATATAACATCCAAATTGCTAATGATTTTTGATCAAAAACTTGTTACGTGATACTTAAATATGAACAAAAAATAATTTGGATAAGTCTTGACCAAAATTTGGATAACTTTTGGCCAAAATTATGTAATATGAGTAGCTCTTGAATAAAATTTAGATAACTCATGATCAAAATAATATAATTTGGGTAGTTCTTTAACTAAAATTTAGATAAAAATTTGGTTAATGATTTATCAAATTATTTTTTTGTCCAAATTTGGATATTATTTGACTAGTTTATAATAAAAAAATCGTTAACAATCTAAACGCTGTCCGCTTGAGGGATCACGTAGAAATCTATAATTTATATTTATAATATAAAATAGGGTAAACTTCAATAAGCCTATCCGACGGTATCAAATAAAATCATCCAATAGTTACCAACATTTTTCTTAAAACCATTCACATTACACCGTACCTTCAGACATGGGTTACCCCTAGAATATTCAATACTTCAGGAGCTAAAATGATACAATTGAAATATTGAGGACCAAAATAAGACATATCCTATATTTTGAGTACCTCTGGTGCAATTAATCCTAATATATATGAGTTTATTCTAATTAATATATAAGAAATAATAGGGGTGGGTATAGTGAAATATGTTAAAAACATGTACAGCATACACAACTGATGTTAAGAAGAAAAAGAAATTTGAGGGAGGGCATGTGCCCACCCTAGTCATTGTGTGGTTCCGCCATTCCTTATATAGTGGGCAGAGAGCGGCAGGCCTTGTTTAGGTGGTCCATCTGCAGTGCATGACCAAGCTAAGGTGTCTGCATTGAGACTATTNGAACAATCAAGAACAGGGGGCTACACATACCCAATTGCAAAACTAAACAAAGGAAACAAACCCAACATTCTAAAACGTATACATTCATAAGAACAAACAAAAAAGATCCAGAAAAAGTTACAGATCTTACCTTCGGAATTAAGGGTTTGAGTCGTGAAATGCTAATCCTTTTTGATAGGTTCGCTCCAAAGGGTGACCACTCTCACTGGATCTGGCGCAGGAACACACAGAGAGAGGGAGAGAGGAACGGAGGGAGGGAGAGGGAAGGAGTATTAACTATTAAGGGAAGAAAACAAGGTGTGTATGTTTAGAGGACCAACTTGCAAAATCAATGCTTCAAGCAGGGGTTCCCCTTATAAAATTAGAATTATTTTGAACTTACTTGTAAATTAATTTAAGGAGTTCAAATTTCGAGTTTGGCAATGTGAGTTTTTGCTCAAAAGTAGTAGTAATTCGTTTTTTCTAAAATAATTCCCAAATGTATAGCACTCCCCTAAAACTAATTCCCAGCAATGCGTCACATGCGTCACACGTAAAAGTTTTTGTTAAAATATTTGATTTGTTGGCCACCAAGAATCATTGGGGATATGTATGCCACTGTTAGAACATTCGGATGACACAAGGATTGATGAGCATTCCATCTCATGCCTTACACGGAGTCGAATCACATAGTGCAAGTAGGTTTGGGCAGTACCATTGCGGTATCAAANACATGCGTTACACGTAAAAGTTTTTGTTAAAATATTTGATTAAATTTCATAAAAATATAATTATATAACTAAATTTCTAGTCAAAAAACTATATCTAAATTAGATATTATCTCATGTCTATCATGTTTAAATTATTTGTATCGTGGATGAGGAGAAAAAAATATATATATATGTCAATTGTTTAGCATCGGAGATTATATTGTCTGAAATTGTCGACATGTATTAATATTATGATTTTTGTTTTTTAAAAAAATAATGTTTTTATATATCCCGGTAAGAATAACATGACAATCTAAAAGTTTTGCAAAAATAAAGAGGGTTAATTTATTATTTAAGTATAGAGGGAGATAATGATAATCTCCATATTTAAATATAAAATGACATATTAGCCTTTAGAGTTTCTTATAAGAGTAAAATAATTAATCAAAAGTTTTTCATTTAAGATATTTTTATTAGTAGTATAGATATATTTTTTTGCTAGATGTGCAGTAATGGTTGACAATAATTGCCACATTATTTTTTCCACCTCCAATATACAATTACAATAATATAGATCAACAGTCACCTTTCATAGATTTTTCGGTAAGCTCCATGTTTATCGACCCATTATTCTTTGGGTACGTTTGATAACATTATCAATTTTTTGTTTTCTCAAACCACCTCTCCAATAATTTATTTGTTTGTATCGATGAATACTACGCATTCGACATTTTCAATATTGATATACTTAATATTTGAGTTTATGTTGGGTAATAGAATAGCAATGTCTACTATGCACTAAAGTTGTCTTCTTAGAAAACGTTAATTAAGGACTTACTAATACATCAAAAATATTCAAATCAATGATCCTATCATGGTTTATTGCCAATAATAGAAGGGATGAAAGTGAACATAAGAAACATATCCTAATCTCATTAGAAGTGACAAATTACCAGCAAGAAATTAATAATGAAAGAGAAACCGTGAAAATTGTTTTACCTAGAAATTTAATTATATTGGTCAATTTATAAAGAAAGTCATATCCAATACTTCATATACTAAATAAGTTTAAAATATGCGTCCTAAAGAGAGTGAGATCTCATTTAATACATTTTCTCTTCAA